TTCTAAACTACATGTATACTCCAACCGTTTACTGTGTGATGAAACAACAAATAAGAACGTAGTTTTTGGACAATCGTGTTGAAAATCTAGGACTCTTTATTTTATGAGATATATTTGATACTTAAAATCGACCCATTAGTGTTTTCTGAAACGTGTTTCTCAACCACAGCTTTGTAAGTATTTTTACAACAATGTTCAATTACACATCAGACTCTGTTCTCTTATATTTTAAAACTATACGAAAAGAATATGGACAGAACTGGATGACACACAACATGCGGGACACTTTCTGGATAACTCCAAGGTTTTCACCAGCTACTGACTCGACGAGGCACATTACTCTCTAAAGACTAGGTTGGCTTCACTTCCTATTGTTCGTTCAATAATCAGTCTGTACCAATCCAAGGAAAGATTTCGAATTTTTTGAGTCAAAAACATTCTCGTTTGAATTCCAGGTTGTAAGCCCCCAGAGAGATACTTGCGGTAAAAGTAAATGAAAGCAAAATAGTGGTTGACTTTAACGAACTTAGAATGATCACAGAAACTGAGTTTCAAGTAAATATAATATAAGCTATTTCTATCCGCATAAAGTATCGTTGATTTTGATTATCTGTTAAGAATACTTACCTAAATTTAGCAACCCTATTTCACCAACGTTTTATGATATACAGTGTATTATTTTAGCGACGTCAATTTAATCCCTCCTATTGTTTCAGCTAAGCTTATTCTTATCGTGAATACAGTATATTTTCAATATCCTAATATACCATAGAAAGGTTTGTTATTGCTGTCAAAAACAAGTGACAAGATATGAGTACGATGGTCAAACTAAACAGGAGACGTTTCTCGAAAATTGAAGCTGTGACGTTTGAATATTAACGGAAAATGTCTCGTAAATATTGCTTTTATCAAGAAACGTGTATCTGTTATTGGTAGTGGTAATATTTTTACTCAGCTACTGTCTGGGAATCAAGATTTGCTTGAACCTACAAAACAAGGCGAATACTGTATTTGGTTATCTTATAAGAATATCTTAGTGTTTGGAGTTATTTCTTATGATCATGACAATTAACTCAAAATGACTACTTTTATTTCAGTTGAAATGGAGCTGAATACGCCTGCTACAAGTATATCAACTGAACATGAAAAGCAACCTAATTCAGAAGTATGTTTGGCCTACTTATTCATTGTCAGTTTTAAAAGATTTATGTATTTACGAATAAATTTTTCTGCTACCCATTAGGATGTTTTATTTATTTAAACACATAAACATTGGAACAAGGAGGCACCAAATAAGCATGCGTCATATTCGATTAGTGTGAGGGCTGGGATACTGCCTGGGTACCCAAACCGAAGCAGGATGTTTACATATTAGCATGTGTTATGTTCTATCGCATACAATGGTTAAGCATGTCTATTAGATAAGATCATCAAATCCGTTTGTTCATATATTGTATTTCAATTGTATGTTGATCAGTTTAATGTACAAAACACCTTGAAGCTTATGCCTTAGCACTTAAAATTTAACTTATTCAAGTTCATCGTTGTGTAACACGTTGGAAACCCATAAACTGCAACCATACTACGTGATGGTTAAACTTTTGGATATTTTATGGTCATTAGTAGTACATTTAAGTAGTTATATCATGTATTCGGAGAATCAAGCTAGATTTTCAGGTAAAATTGAGTGTACACTAGTTAAACTAACAGTGGTAACCAATAAGGGATGTGTACAAGTATTCAACAGTTGTACAACAAAAAGAAAATTATGGTGATCTAGCCGTTGGAAGTAAAATGTTTTCTGGGAACTGGTGGTGAAAACCATGAACACCTAGTTTTAACGCCGCGGTAACACCAATATCTTTTAGCAATCAACTTTTTGACATTTTTGCCTTTGATGGATATTGACCTCGGACATGTTTATTTTGTTCGTCTGATTCATATTTGACAACATGTAACTTTGAAATACGTTTAACTTTTTATGAAAAACGTCATGAAGCTTGATCATTATATTATAAAAACTAGGATGTAACTGGAAAATTGGATATATTTGAGTTTCTGTCACTTATCAGTTAATATGATCATAATATCCTACCAAAATTTGTTAAGTATCAGGGGCGTTGTTATTAGTCTTGTCTAACGCGTCTTGCAGACTTCTAAATGATGTTCTTACATTCCATATAATTTATTTCTAGTCGGTCTCACTAACTTTACCATATATACCTGAAACTCCTGCGTATATGTTGAACATGGTCAATCTTTCTCGAAGTTGCAGTGCTTATGAGATTGCTACAGTGCCACTTAAACTTTCGTGCAATAGTGATCTCTCTACCAAAAACACATTGTCGTCCACATCAAGTTGTTCAATTTCTATGAATAATGACAGACCGAGGTCTAAGTATGGTAGGTGGGTTTCCAAAAAACTTCACAAACGTTCGAAGCATGGAGTTTCGCAAGATCCAAAGATTAAAGTTGGTCGATTCTTGGAGCCTTATCCGCCAAGTACTAACGACGTTCATAGAAGTAAGGAATTAAAAGAAGGTGATTCTGCTAACAAGTCGACATGGCATAAAGTATGGTCAAAAAACAAGTAATGGATTATCAAACAAGTTTTTATTGTACATATTTCTTTAGTTTAAAATTATATTACAGTTCTTAACTTTAAATTACTTGTTTTGTATGCGCTTACCAAATTAAATGAGTTTGTTTCCATTTATATTGCGCTCATTCTGTCGGTGATCCCATGAAGGTAGAGATGATGCATCAAATACTGCAGGGTTACTGAATGCAAACCTGGCTTGTTCTAGAGTAGCTACACATGATCTGTCTTTATAAACATCAATCAATTCATATGTACCATCTCTCTGACTCTAAAAATTTTTAACGTAAAAATTAATATCAGATGGGATTTGTGGATATTATAGTAATTTCAATGGTTAAGACCATGAGTCATTTGAATCTAGACCACCATGGAAGCACTGGACGGCCGTTTCGTCATATCGCGGGACTACTCAGTAGTGCGCACCCACGACCTCGCCCCGTGCGGGATTCGAACCCAGGGCCTACCGGTTTCGCGCGCGAGCACTTAATCATTAGACCACTGGACCGGCATCCAGCGGTGTTAATGTCTAACTTCAACTAATCCACGAAATTGAGCGACGCATTCATCATTGTGAGTTACTATCTCACAACAGACCTGGTTGAACTCCACTGGTCACTACTTCGCTCTAGAACTCCAGGATATACCTCTTGAAGCCAGTCACTAGTGAGCATATTTTGAGTAATAGGACGAAACGGCCGTCCGGTGCTTCCAGGTTTCCCATGGTGGTCTAGCTTCAACTGACTCATGATCTTAACCATTAAAAACTAATAATTTATAACTGACTCCATTCGGTATGTATGCAACTTTGTTTAAAAGCAGATTCATTAATACGATTGATCGGTTACTACTGTACGTCATGATACGCCTAGTAATCGAGTTATTCATCTAGAGTTCCTTTTGTAGTATACGTGTTTCATGTCTTACCGAAAAATGCACTTGGGAAATAGATAGAAAATATTCAGTGGTACTGTGGTGTATGCGATTTATGTCCACACGGCCACGCGCATACAGCCTCTGCCAGGGAAGTCCTACTCACTGCCTTCTCGTGACGAGGGTGTTGTTTACGAAAATGAAAGGACGAAAAGCAAGTGTCCGGCGCTTAAACCGGATCGCAAACGAATGGTGCACATGGGCTCCAGTATCGTGAGGGAGCAAATGGCGTATGAACCAATCGTGGGTCACCGGCTACCATGGGACTGCATCTTCTCGCGATGCTCTAGTGCCTTGTGGGTTAGATCTTTAGGTCAAAGGCTCGGGGTGTGGCCCCCTAAGAAAACCACCTGGTTCGGTCTGGCCGCCCGGCCAGTATCACAGCCCACACACAGACAGAATGAAATGAAGATACTTACGGAAAATACTATGCTTGCTTCGATTAACAATCAAGCGATTCACGTTGTTATTATTTACTACGTTTTTTATTCCCACTCTGTGTATCCTTATTTTCCGACTTCTATGCACTAATGTATTGAATCCCCATCAACAGTTAATTGTAAGCTGTTAGATTAGAAAGTTCCATCAAAGTGAGGAGAAACGATGTGCTCTCGTCATCTTCGCCTATGCCAATTAACTGTTCTTCTCCAGAAAGTGCGTTCGACAGATGTTGTATCACCAGCCTGAGACTTGAATGCTCTAGGCACAGAAGAGAGTCATTTAGGTGGCTAGCACTAACTTTCGGCACAGTCATCGCCGATGTGCCACCTGGCGTCCTCCCTCTGCATCTCAAGCCTGGACTCAGATTGACCACATCGCGATCAGCTACCGCTGGCGTGGTTGTGTACAAGACTGCTGCTCCTTTTGGAGTACCTATCTGGACTCTGACCATGCCTTGGTCTGCGCCAATCTTATCTTACTTTTCAGTTGTCAACGAAGTTATCGTCACTAAAGGATTGATGTCAGCAAGTTTGTTGCGACTTTTGTTGTTAGAAAGTATCGAACCGAGCTAGCTTCTAGGCTTCGCGCAACGTCTCGCTTATAAGCACTGGGTCTCTTCAGGCTCCTTACAGCTCATCGAAGCCCGTCAGTGTGCTCCTGGAGAAAGACTTCTCGACCTTGAGTAAGCGGATGATATTGTCTTACTGTGCGATAATGCCCAAGGCATGCAATCCGTACTTAATCAGTTGGCAATCAGTGTCCGTAGGTATGGTATGTGCTTTGCACCTTCGAAGTGCAAAGTACTTCTACAAGACTGACAGGATCCTGAACTTGAACTCACCCTGGGTAGTGAGGAGATAGAAGTAGTCGAGAAGTTCGTGTATCTAGGTAGCTGCATAAGTGCTGGTGGTAGTGTGAGTGATGAGATTAATTCAGGTATAGTGAAAGCCAGAGCGGAATATGCCAATCTGGCATCAGATATGGCTCAGAATAGAAGTCAGTGGCGATCCTGCTGTAACCTTCTTTTACTTTCTTCATAAAAAGTGGTTGTATCTTCCTTAACTAAAAGATTTCTTCTGGCTTTACCTTTCCGTTTCCCCTACTATTACCATTATTATTACTATTACACTACCTTACACTAATCTGTTCGTTATTGTCCTCGTTTTCTTAACGCTCCTTACCTTCTTTTTTTCTCTTCGAATTCCTATTGTTTTATGTGGCGCATATAAATTTGGTGCCCTCTTGTACCAATGTTTATGTGTTCAAATAAGTATAGAATGTAAACAGAAGGAGATTGTGACTTAGATGAGTCATACAGAGTGTGGAATGAAGCATTCAATGGTTCTTATATTTCAACAAGGTATTCCGTAATTTTATACTAAAATACATTCGGTTGTCCCCTCCGCACCTGTGTTCTCACTTATTACAATACAAGCAAGGTCATATCTAATTGAATTTAAAGGAGCTGGAGGGCTGCAGATATATCTGGTTCAAAGCAAGTTGAATACCTCATATGTAGCATGCACAAGTTATCTAGAACATAGCTGTCGTCCGGTTCCTTTTGTGCCATGTGCATCGAATAAAGTATATATGGGTTAACCACAACCTGCAGGCTACCCACAAATAATTAAGAATTATGGTTTTTCCATTCGAAGTTTTGAAAAAATAGCGTTCGAAATTAAACTCATTCTGTTGTCTAAATGACTTGAAGAACGCTCTTTTTCTGACGATAAGCACATAAATGGTCTCATAGGGAAATAACCACTGGACTTTAAGGCTTAGGTAATAATTTAGTAGCAGTAGTTTTGCGATTTACACTTATATTTTATATCAGTCTTACTAATTCACACATAGAAAATAAGTTACAGGATATAATGATTTCAGGATAGTTCTGTAATTCCAACGCAGAACATAGGGTTTTCACTTTAACTTCTCTAAAATGAGATTCTTACCACTCAATGATGGGCGAATTTGTTACCTTCTTTGCATAATCTAAAACTAGTTTCTTCTTCGTTTATGGTATTTTTGATTTTGCAGTGGCAGTGGGTTACATTAATACCAGTTTATTAACTGCATGTTCACCATTCATCCAGGTTTAAAGTATTTTAGTTTTTTAATATCAACCTGGTTCAATTCGGTAGTTTATTAATCTTGGAGAAGATCTGTAGCCCAAATGGAGTTTTGTTCTCTAATTTGAGTGATTTAATCGGGAAGCTTTTATTGTCCTTCTGGGCGTGATAGGTGTCAACAACCAAGATCGACAGAACAAGCAGTCATATGTGGAGAGATTCGGATACCTTACTCTAATATAAAGTTTCTGCTGATGATGTACGTAGGGACAGTGGAAGATTCTTGACAAAACCAGCCAGGTTAGATAATGAACCTCATTCCGTATAGTTATCACACATACCCTCTACTTCTTTTTGTGCACACTGTTAGTGATATGGTAGGTGTTTAAATCAAATTTACGAGTTTATAAGTACCTTTACAATAAGTATCCAGGGTATTCCCAAGCGGCTTTGATCCAGAATTTTTCTACCCAAGCTTAATTCTTTGCGATCATCCACCAAAATGTCACCAAGTAACTTGAAGTTGATGGAATCACTTTGAATGGTATCGAGGATATATTTCAGCTCATCTGGATTCACACTGTCCTTGGCCGTTTCCTTCAGGTAAATAGAAAAACGTCATAATTGTATCTGAAAGTTAGTTTGTTGGTGTTTCATAAACAGGACATTCTTACAGCCACTTGTGGATAAAGTTTAGTGAAGTACTTATTTATAACGATCTAACCCTTGTGATGGTTCGGAAAAAAAGCTAGCATTCATACCGTGATCTCAGTCATAGGTACTTACTGCGTAATTAGGTGTTGACATCACTTTAATAGGTGTGTACAGAAGACATACTTGCTTTGTGACCAGCTTATTACAAAAACATGTAGTAGTAGCAGTAGTAATACAACAACATTACGAGAACTGAACTTCTTAGTCGTTAGAATCCATATTTAAAAGTTCCAATATTACTCAAAGTATAAACCAACTACCTTCTGTAGAACTATTGATCCGCTGTATGGTGCGATTCGGACAGGCCATCGAAGCTGTGTGATCTGATCTTTAGATTTGTCAGGAAACGCAACTCTTGTCAAGTGTTCGATGCAGACGGCAAGTAGACGTGATATTCCAAGACCATAGCACCCCATGAACATAAGTCTAGGATATAAAATATATGAAGTGATGTGTGTCATTTTATAAGATAAACATCATACGTAAAATTTCCAAACACTAAAAAAATGATGAAGACAATGTAGTTGTTCAGAGGTTATTTCACTGTAACTTACTTTGAGCCTGAAGGGGATTGATAAGTGGCATCAAAACACTTTGAATATCGTTCACCCAATAGGAAACAGTGGGCGACCTTAAAAAAATAAACATGAAACTGTCCAATCAGTGACATTCAAAGCTAAGTACATCGTGATGTCAAACGAGACCTATAAAGTTACATCGGAAGCAATGATTTAGGGTTATTTCCAACCACATTACTACGTATCTTTCATGAGTTCGATAGAAGTGTGCTCTTAAAGCAGTATTAAATGACGTGTACTGGATAATGAAAAATATCTATCATGTCACATAATAAGCTACGAAAGTAACATATCCCCTTTACTTTAAGCAGTACAGGTATCCAACTGGTTAGGGATGCTTAAATAGAAGAGAAAAACAGTAAATCATTTAGGATTGATTGTGTTTTGAATTTTAGAAAATACACTTTGCTGGCGAATTCTGCTCTCTGATATCCGTTCACTAAATGTGTCCATCGTTAATTCGATTTCAGAATAATCGTTACTCAAACAAATGAATATAAATAGTTGATCACGCAAGCACTATATCACTGTTGTGCCATGGAATGTACACTTCAAAATAGTTTGATGACAATGCGTCCAGGGGCATGTTGAAGTAATGGCGGCTAATGTAAGGTCAACTGTCACCAGCTGAAGAGGTTTTTTACGGACGGAAACAATAACTTTATAGATAAATGAATATATTTTTAATATCCCAATGAGTAGAAAATCTAATTTTCCTACATATTGGGATATTACAAATATATTAATTCATTTATAACAATCTACCCAATGCTCCAATTATTCGAAATTAAGTCCAACCTTGGTAAGAATAACTAATAACTCTTTCGCTGATAATTCTTGATTACTTACTTCTATACCTTGAACTTCATTGAATACTTTTGGGCAAGATTGTAAAGGACACAATGAGCTAGCAACTTCACCTGTAAGTAATTTCCTTCAGAATGATAAATACCTTTAAGTTCTGAATTGAATTTCAGGGAGCATCTAAAGTGAATCAAAAAGTGTGATGGATATTTGGACAGATTTTAAAAAAAAATTAACTGATTTTACAATTTAAGATTTATGCAAGCGAAATGTAAGAACAAATGTTATGTTAGCATACTTCACTGCGGCCTTAAATAACTGAAAAATAATAGGTAAATGTGGTTAGGTACCTTAGTATAATTCTGAGACAAGATATGAGAAAGAACATTTTCCACAATAAAATAGACATGGTTTTTACGCCTTGGCAGGAAACTAACGTTGCTTGTTTCGGATAATATGGACATGTATCGGACGGACAACATGGTAATTCTCAATATCTTATTATCATTAACGCTAGAACAACTTTCGAAAATAAAGTATTTTCGCATGCTTAGTTGGAGTTTCGCTGAATGGACAAGCAAGCATTTCAACTTTGTAGTGTTTGGTATTATCTGGGAGTCGAAACAGTTTCAGTGCCCTATTAGTCACTCGTTAATTCGACTTAACATTGGGTCCTTCATAATACTTTATGTTTAGGTATCTTTCATGCCTACTGTTCACTACCATTGATACTACTTCAGTGGTATTTCTTTTGATAATTTCATCAAGCTTTGATTACATGGTGCAACACCTTGGGCCAATGTAGATTCGTACCAAGTCCTACATTGCTTATAACTGACAGCTCTCATAGTTACCGATAGGTGGTGAGGGACAAACAATTTTGCTTAATTCACTCTACATTATAATCAGCTTCCAGAAGATTGATGTTAAGTTATTGTTTGAACCAAAGAACCTATGTTTTGTTTAAATAATGTGACATACTTTCCTGCCGTTTAAATTCATCAAACTGAATTAGAAAGAACTATAAACAGGAAAACACAGGCATCTATTATTACCCATTCATATGTAACTGGCTGCTTCAAAAGCTGTAAATGGTACTCATAATGTGCTAAGTGCTTGTTATTTTTCAATAAATAACCATTTTCTAGTAGCTTGGCTGGTCAAAAGAAAGATCTAGAGAATACAATTGTTCGATACTACGATGTTCACTGTAAGGTAACACTTTGGATTTACACAGAAAAGGTACATTACTTCAATGCCCGCGATAAATGTAGGTCTATTGACATCTGATAGGGTAATTTTCATTGGTATAGTTAACAGGTAAAACAAACCATGAAACTTTGGTCATTTGGAACTATCGACCACTTTTCGAACGCAAAGATCTTATTTTCGATCTTTGAAAAAAACCTTAACGTTTAGAAAGCGACTTATGAGAAGTATTTGAATAATATTACAGGTCAAAGTTTAGGTTTTATGAGGTCGATTGAACCGAAAAGATCAGCGCATCTTTGGTTTACTGTTCTAACGATTCGCCGATAAGAATGCCAGTTCTGTCCATATCCCCCGTGTATATTATTTCGGCTACAGCTAGCGTCTTAATAATTATAGAGTAAAAATGTAAGTGGTAATAGTCCGTAAAGTAGTTCTGATAGTTACATTTCCAGTATTTGCTCAGTCACATTTTATAGATTTTGCAAGGTATTTTTATTACATATGCGCCACACAAATCTTATTCGATGTGTGAGGGCTATGATACTGCTCGGGTGCCCAAACCGAACCGGGTGGTTTTCTTATGGGGCCACTCCCCGAGCCTTCGACCTGAAGGACATTCGCTTTTCGTCCTCTCATTTTCGTAAACAACACCCCCGCCACGAGAAGGCAGTGAGTAGGACTTCCCTGGCAGAGGCTGTATACGCGTGGCCGTGTGAGAGCATTTCGAGAGGGAGAGCAGACGGATCCCTTTTTTAAGTAAAGACCAATCAGATAAATGGGTAAATCTGCTTGAATCTATATGATGAGATTAAATATGTTAATCAGAATAGCACAAAATTGATTACAACTCACTTTGAACACACTAATATTCGGTCTTCTCCTACATCAGCTTGAACGTGAAATTCCTCTGAAATGAGACCACCAACATTTCCTGGATCTGCAGATGCTTGATTTAAAAAGAATGCCAAAGATGTTGGGATGTAACAGATGGAGTTAATAAATTATAACTTAAAGAAATGAAAAAGGATTGAGATTTCACTCAACAGCAAATTAGAGGAGACCTGGTGAAGGTTAATATGTATATGATGTCGATATAGTGCTTGTAGTTAACCACCAGACGTCAGTTTTCTCCCGTTACTTTTTAAGAACGTTTATAAGACCTTGCTTTATTAATTATTCGCAACACCTTTTATTTTACCTTCAGACGTATATGACAATCTGACGACTACTGATTGTTCTTATGATCAAGACAATTCACTTTCATGCAAATCGGCATAATCTCTTTTGAATATACATATATGTTTTGCATAACATGCAGATTGGTTGAAATCTATGTCACTTGTATGCAACGTAATAACGGAACGTATTTCAAATTTATTTCTCAATGGTGAATTGATAATGTATTTAATTCGGACACCCGAAAATCGGACAACGGATGCTTATAGTAGTGATTTTGACAACTTTTTAATGAGATTTTTAATCTATCGAGTGCTTTCTACTGAAATAATACACCAGAATATTCAGATACTTTTTATGTGAGCTCTCAAAGTAAACGCTCATTACCAACACCAACAAACTGGAGATTAAAGCTAAAATATATTCGCGCTTCATATTACTGCTGATTCGTTTTAAGGGTTCATATCTCTGAAATACTCTAAAACTCATATCATATTAATTCAGTGTTAGGAATTTAAATAGAACAAAAGGGGATATATTACCAAAACTCAGGTGATACAGTCACACTTTATCAACTACCGTGAGGAAAATAACGAGGACAACAGGACTGTGCTTTAAATGAGTACTAAGTTGTGAGATCTAACAGTTAACTTTTAGGACTGATGCCCAGTCTTGTGTGCTGTTAAGGGTGTGAGGTCTGATGTCACTTCCCGGCTGCCCACACCGTGGAAGGGTACTTCTTGAGGAACCTGGAAAGGAAGTTGGATTAATGTTGGTCTTAACGACCTGAGAGCGTGACCGCATATCCCAAGGGACAACTGCTTGAGGCCGGTCGCGCACGGCCTTTTTGTGGGGTTTTTAACGTGTTAGCTCCGTTCTTCAAAGGGCCTTACCGCCGTGGACGGAATTTCGGGAGGTAAGGTGAGGCGTGACACTTTTAGGGTCGACCTTCTCTAACCCCTTCCTTCTTTGTGAGAAGGAAGCAGTGTTGCAGATGCTGGTTTTCTGAGGGAAACACTTTACTGCTGTCACACCCCTCTGCAATCAGCAGTAAGACTTCGCCCACAAACCTTGAGTTGCTGCTTCTAGTCTTACCGTTCTCCAATCGACCTGCCTGGCAATGGTAGAACCTACAGGAACATATGTTTCAGCAAATATGACTCCGTTGGATTACCACGATGGGCAAGCCCGACCACCGCGTCAAGGTAGCAGCTAGGGTCGGGACTGATTTTACCAACATAGCATCCAGAACTTAAAATCATGGGATGACAGCTTACTAAAAATGACTATACAATTAGTTTTTATGAGAAAGGGGATATTTTAGATAGTGTATTCCTGGTGAATAATTGCCTTAAATTAATCAGTCGTTTATAATTTGCAAGTGACATCTATCGATTAGCGTAGGACAATTATACTGAGTGACTAGCCACAAAAAGGGTCTGCTTACCAACTAGGTACGGTAACCCAAGGTTAACCAACAAGTCAGAATACGCAGTCTTCACATGTCTATAGGTTTCCTCAGCTGCCTCGGCAGAAGCATCAAATGTGTAAAGGTCTGGAATTTAAACAGAATAAAGTGCCTGTACCTTGCATTACAAACTCACGTCCCCTGACTAGACCATGTTTTGGGTGAGGTTCATCTCGAAATTTGCTGGTTATCTTGAAAACAAAAGTATTTTTATGTAGCTTACCTGATACATCAAAACAGGGAGGGCCTTATACGACAAATTTAGACAGGCAATGAAATTGGTTATACATTCTTCATGGGTCTAACAGAATGTGAGGGAATTATATATTACTGGCTGTAAACAATACTCATGAGATAATCTGTCTTTGACTCTGAATAAGCTACTCTGCATGGTAGACCATCGACCTGTGTGGTTTATAATGACTGGATATATATATATACATACCAGACTTTTCCCAGATGTGTCTCGGACCTAACGTTGGGAGCAAAACACGTTGAGCTCCTAACTGTAACATCTTATTGTCAACTAAACTTTCCAGCTTTCGCAGAGATCGCAGTACTTCCGGTCCAAAAGCATACACACCGGTGGAGTCAGAAAAGATGAGACCATACAACCGCAGAAGCTACATTTTAGTCGGAAGTATCGAACAAAAAACCTTTTGGCTGATACAAATAGTAGATGTTACTCCAGGTATGTTTATTAACGGGGGAAGGGAACGAGATAGAAACGTGAACACAGACATACGAGGCCCGTTAAAAAGTCAAACCCTTTCAATGCCGCCCGCCGTTTCGTTCCAATGACCTTGATCAGCCTTACAAGAGGCGGTCATTGCGTACTTCAAGTGTAGTGGGTTTGTTGCGTGTATGTTTGATCACACAAATATTAAGTTTTCTCATATTTAAGTAGTCTTTTGCTGCAGTAAAGTCAAAAAATCACTGCGAAAAGCACTGATTTAGCTTTTTCTATTGTTGCTTAGTAACTTGGTCTGTGATACAAATGACTCTACTGAACCTCAATGCCTTTTTAAACTTTTTGATCAAGTTCAGAAAACAACTCAACTCCTGAATCGTTCACCCTGAGAACATTTTGAATAACACTTTCAAAAACCTAGTCACAAGCTAGATTACAATAATTGGTTTCTGTACTTGCCTGCCCTGACTAGGCTCAGAGGGCGAAATCGTTCTGAACGGAATAGAAGAAGCCTTCGTTTAACGGATTTCCGTATCTACTGGTAGTAAGTCATCGATGCCTCTAGGTGGAATTCTAAATATATTTGTGGGGCCGTTGACATATCACTGAGCCCAAGACAAATCATCGGTAGTTGGGTCACTGAATATCGAACAGATCATCAGTCCCTGTCAAAGTCAAGGACAGCCAATACGCATCATTTAATCGAATGTCATGGACTGGCCAATGCCATGGCGGTCTCACTATCTTCTCCGTACTCATTCAAGTAAAACAATATCAAGTGAATTAAATCTCATTGTCGTATACATCACTCAGGGAATTAATACCTAGTGTAGTGAAGTCTGATAGCTTTGAATGAAGAGATAGATCGAAGTTTCCTAAAGTGATGCCACAGAACGATCAGAAAGTTAAAGACTTTATACTGGAAGTACAGACACAATCAGCGAAGTGCAATGTTGGAGAACAAATGACAACTCAAATTCGTGACTGCTTGATTGCTGGTATAAATATTCAAAATTTAGAAAGTGAAGTAATTCTGAAGCCTAAACGTTCATTCCAAGAAATAAAAATAGCATGTGTTAACTACGAGGCAGTGAATGGGCTTGATTTTCAATCACTGAAAATTTCTAATACTTCTCTTAGTCATCGTGATGAACTTCATTCTCAATGACGTTCGAGCTCACGTTTGGTTAATAATGGTTCTGATTCTCGTGAAAATATAAAAAGTGAGTTGCAAAGCAGGTTATAGAAGTGAGCACAGTTTTAGTAAATGCTTATCCTATGGTAGATTTCGCTTATGTAACTCATGTGTCTTTGTTATATCTAGAAGGTTGTTCTTGATATACCGCGTATAACGTGAGCACTAGAACGCCAAAACACTCCCACGTCGCAATGAGAAGACAGAAGACTGATGAAAGGAATATTATTCCCAGACAGTGTTGGTTATAGTACAAAAGTGTCAGGTATTTATAGTTTTTAGTAAGAACGAAATCATCATTACAGTCCTCTAATCCACATACAGGGGAAGCTACATGTAGGAATTCTAGTATATTCTTCCAAAAGGTGATTGGATGAAATATCTTCGGCTCCTTCTGAGCCTCTTACAGCTTCCTCGAGTTCACCCGTGTTCTGTCGCCACACCTTCCTTCTTTAAACTCTGTTGTGTAAGACTTTTTTCTCGGATCCACCTGAAACTTGGTTGCCACATTCCTCTTGCGGTCCATCACTCTCGAGGGTTGTACTGCTTTGCCCTTGCGTTGTTTACATCTTCTATGTTTGCGCGCCTGAGGGCAATTCTGAGATGAATCTGTAACAGCTCAGGTTGGTTGGTTAAGAGTTGACCCCAAACAACCAAGCTTATGCCAAAACAGTATTGTTCAAGTATTCATTCACTTCCTTATTTTTCATAAGCGTTATATTCCCTATTATCTTATATTGAATGTTGAGAGCCTTTGTTTGTCTGAACAGATAATCCCACGCTCCACTGCGACTGCGCTAAGATCGAAATAAAGACCTATTCACTACTTCTCTGGTTTCTTCTATCAATAGCACGAGGGTTACATTAAGGCACGAAACTGGTGAGCCCTTTTTTGAACACAAATTTAACCTCATTTCTGTTATTAACATTTTTTTTACTTAATCGTAAAAGTAGACCTGATTATCCGTAAACTAATTTGAGTATATAACTAGTTTATTCCGTATTATCTTAAGTTATTCGTGTTATAGTAACCACTTTTTGTGCTAACTTTATTGCTATATTTGTCACATACCTCATGTCAGACTCAATAGAAACCCATAATCTGGAGGATTTGTCACCAGTGGAGATAGACACTGTTATGACTACGAAATCCCGACTTCCAGAATTTGATCGTAGTGATCCTGAGTTGTGGTTTGCTCAACTAGAGCATTATTTCACGAGACACAATATCAAATCTGAAGGGATTCGCTATAGAGACTTGTGTTCAATCCTTCCTCCTTCAGTCGCCAAAGAAGTCCGTGACTTGATTTTAAGTCCACCATTACCACAACCATACACCGTCTTAAGACGAGAGATAATGAACCGTTTATCACTATCAGATAGTCAAAGAATCCAAAGACTTTTTCAAGGTGAAACACTAGGTGATCGGTCGCCGTCACAGTTTTTACGTCACCTCCAAGTCTTAGTGGGTGATAACACAGTGGGTGAAGCAGTCCTAAAACAAGGATGGATACAAGCTCTCCCATGCTACGTCCAACACTGTTTGGATGCACAGGATCCTGAAACCTCATTATCTCATTTAGCGCGTATAGCCGACAGAATAATGGAAAGAGGTCCTCCAACTGGATCAGGCACAATAAATCACACACAAAAAGTAGAATCAGCAAAAGACCCCGTAATAGAAGGACTCATTGCGAGTGTTAAGAGTCTCACTGAGGCTGTCACCAGAATGCAAATGGGTCATAGAAACAGGAGCAGGTCACCACAACGACCACGATCCGAGTCACAAAACAGGTCACAAATGTCCAGACAATCTGGGCAGTTTTGTTGGTACCACTGGAAGTTTGGTGTCAACTCAACCAAGTGCATGCAACCATGCGCCTGGCCTAAGCATAATTCTAAGACAGCGGGAAACGAGTAACCCCTCCCCAGGTCGCGACGACTGAGGAGGGGCGCCTAAACAGTCGCTTGTTTTATGTTAGAGACAGAAACTCGGGCTTGAATTTCTTGGTGGATACTGGCGCTGCTCTTAGCATCATCCCTCGAAATAAAACTGAGATTGGACGAGAAACATCATCAATTACACTTCAAGCTGCAAATAAAACTAAAATCGCGACATTTGGGCAGAAAACTTTAACCCTAGATTTGGGGTTCAGGAGGCAATTCCCTTGGGTTTTCACGGTAGCCGACCTAGATCTGGCAATACTGGGGATGGACTTTCTAGAGAGATACGAATTTCTAGTTGACACCAAGAAACGGCGATTAACACTAAAAGAAACTTCGTACTACACAAAAGGCAAAGAAAGTCACATCAACTCTCTTAACTTGATTCAAACTCCCCCAGTAACAACAGCGAAATTCCAAGATATACTCGCGGAATTTCCAAACTTAACTAAACCAAACCCACAGCCTTCCAAAGACAAACTAAAAGTGAGTCACACTATCAAAACCGAAGGTGCACCGGTGTTTGCAAAACCCAGGAGACTAGCACCAGATAAGCTCAAAATCGCTAGGGCCGAGTTTGATTATATGCTACAACTGGGTATCATCCGTCCCTCTGATAGTCAATGGGCATCCCCTTTGCATATGGTCCCAAAGAAGAATGAAGGTGACTGGCGACCGTGCGGGGATTACAGAGCCCTAAACCGTCAAACCGTACCTGATAGGTACCCAATACCTCATATCCAAGATTTCACCAACGGTTTACAGGGTATGAACATATTCACTAAAATTGACTTAGTCAGGGCATATCACAATATCCCGGTGGCTGATGAAGATATTCCCAAGACAGCTATTACTACACCCTTTGGCTTATTCGAGTTTGTACGCATGCCATTCGGCCTGAGAAACGCGGCACTTCCTCAGATATTCTTATTCCACATTCTCACACTCTTTCTCTTGAAAGCACGCAGTAAACCGTCAGCGATAGTTGTAGAATAGATCACATGCTACAAAATAAGATGACAAGCTAGTAAATGAGGAGACATCCATGGACTATCGTTGACAGCGTTAGTCGTCACTGATTGTAAGTCAAATAGTGAGCGAGTTGATAATTTTCCCTTGGGATGAGAAATAGAACTAAGGTGTTTTCGATGGATAGGTTAATCGAACCGACGTTCCTACGGAAGTCGATTCTAGGGGGAAGCTAATGTAACAGCTCAGGTTGGTTGGTTAAGAGTTGACCCCAAACAACCAAGCTTATGCCAAAACAGTATTGTTCAAGTATTCATTCACTTCCTTATTTTTCATAAGCGTTATATTCCCTATTATCTTATATTGAATGTTGAGAGCCTTTGTTTGTCTGAACAGATAATCCCACGCTCCACTGCGACTGCGCTAAGATCGAAATAAAGACCTATTCACTACTTCTCTGGTTTCTTCTATCAATAGCACGAGGGTTACATTAAGGCACGAAAAATCTACGAGCAATTGAAATGGGAGTCGGCTTTCTGGGAACACTGTACTGACGTCTCTTCGCATTTGATTTATGTGTCTTATACATTTTCCGACACCTATCCGGACTACGTACAGTAAATTTCCGATTCGACGTTCTATGACACCTGGTTCTCACTTCCTATTACCTTGATACGATTTGATAAGTACCTTTTCACCCACCTGGAAGCTACGAGTGACCGTACGATACTCATTCGTGGGTTTATTTGTCTTTCTGGGTGGCAACATACTGTTAAAGACTGTCCGGATTTTCCTTCCGAACATACACTCGGCTGGTGACTTCCCTTCTGGTACTGCAGGATTAGGGGTAACTCTGTAAGACCTTAGGAACTTACTGATCACTTGTTCTGGGGTACCCTGACCTCCCCCTTTGATCAGAGCTCATTTTATCGTATCCACGGATCTTTCTGCTTGGCCAGTCGACTGAGGATGATGCGGAGGAGATTTTCACTGCAAAAGCGTTTGAAAGCGGATGAAAAACTGAGTACCGTTGTCGG